AAACATGATACCCGTGCTTTTTATAACTTACTAAAAATTTGTTAAAAAAGGCAACCGCGCATATTTTATACCTATATTTTTTTAAAATTTTGTTTACCCACAAAATCGCCATAAATCAAGTTTGAGTTTTATGTGATCACGACGAATAACTGTTATTTGTCAACTTTTATTATAAAACTCAAAAAATAACAGTTATTCTTTGAGTTTTACTTTACAAATCAGAAAATAACTGTTAAAGTGTGATTTTTAAAATAAAACTTATAACAGTTACGTTCCCTGCTAAAAATGATTTCAAAAATCTAGGAGAATTTGGCAGTTTTAATTTTTTTCAAAGAGTATTTATTACTACCAAAAATAGGTTTTCCCTATATTGGTACCCAAAAATCATTCCGATTCTTTCAGTGTAGCCCCACTGTTACTGCCACTACTGCACTTGTCGATATCGACGTCAAAGTCTCGTAATGCCGGCACTCGCACTTGTCAGCCTAAAAGATGACAGTGATGGCGATGTGTTATTCTTGCCACGGTGTGGTTGCGGGAGCGAGATGGCGACTGAAAGGACGCGAGGTCCTGGCGGGTTAACACATATTACGGCCCTTGCGTATTGATGTCGATCAAACCGATATATGTATGTGCTCGTCGGTGAGTGTGTGCGGATGTATCCAACGCAATTGAGGTCATGTCCATGCGGCATCGGCGAATGGCGACGTATATGCCAAAGCATTAACTCGGCATTTGTTTCAAGCTGCTCGGAGGCAAGTCCGAGAAGGGCGACATGGGTTAAGGGGAGGGTATGGGGGACAGGGATACTGGGGGTATTGGCGGGTGGACAGATAGCGCAAGTTTGGGCCGAGAGTTGCGACATATTGAAAATCATTGCACACATACCCGTACACTCGCCAGGCAGGGCAAATTCAAAAAAAACAAGAAAGAACGCTATAGTCGGGTGCCCCGACTATCAGATACCCGTTACTCAACTAAAGAGAGTGCGAAGGATTATACATGGAGATAAAAACTTTGATCCGCCGTAACTTTTTAACGAATGGTCTGATTTAAAAACTTTCTTCTACATTTCAATAGGTATTCATAAACACAATAAAACTGCATTTTTACTTTTCCGAAATATTGAAATTTTTAAAATCGTATATAAGCGATTGTGGGCGTTAGAGAGGGCGTGGCACCCTTTCGAAACAAACTTGCGCTGCGTAGGAACTCCTAGAATCTGCATGCAAAATGTCAATCTTCTAGCTTTTATAGTTTCCGAGATCTCAGCGTTCATACAGACAGACAGACGGACAGACAGACGGACAGACGGACAGACGGACAGACGGACAGACGGACATGGCTAGATCGACTCGGCTAGTGATCCTGATCAAGAATATATATAGTTTATAGGGTCGGAAACGCTTCCTTCTACCTGTTACATACTTTTGCACGAATCTAATATACCCTTTTACTCTACGAGTAACGGGTATAAAAATAAAGGAAGCAGGAACAATGTATTGAAAGACAAACGGCATTGGCATCAATTTTTATTTGCCTGAACTGGCATGTTTGTGTGACTGTGTGTGTGTGCTTTGGCCGGAGGAGAAAAAATTTTTATTACATTGAAAATTTGCATAAAATATTTAAGCCAAATGGTCGGTCGATTTTACGGGTAGGAAATGTGGCCAAAAACAAAAACTTCCTTGATGTGATGGCAGAATAGCAGCGCCACTCCTGTTGGCCTGCGAAAGCTGATGGGATTTGTTGTCTGAAGATTTGACAGGCCTTAAGGGCTATGGAATGGTAACCGACAGTTGCGGTTTCGATATGCGAAATATCCTATAATGGAGTACCTCCTTGAAGTGGGAACACAGTTTGATGCGAAGGCTGTGCAGAATCGATTTTGGGAATATTTGAGTGCCATCATATCAATATAAGAATAAATAAATATATATAATTTAAATCTTCATTTTATTTTATTTATTTTGAGTTGACATATTGTCTTGCATTTTTTTTTGGACTTTACAAACTTCAAAAAACTTTAAATTAGTAAAAAAAACTAAAATGCGCGACTGAGATAGCATCACATTGTTATAGAGAAGAATGGATGGAAAGACAGAGAGAGGAACCCCGGCAATATATAGAAAACTTCAAGGATTCGCTGCACGTTCGCATCTTTAACGCCATATGTTGACTTTTGCTACAACTTTCATGCTAACCCACAATGAAGTGGGGCAACAGGAGCGGAGGGGAGGGGTTGCTGGCCATATCCTTTATCTTATATACGCTATTTTATGCCTGCACCACACCACGCCAACTCCCCGTCTTATATGGCTGTTGTTGTTTCTCGCCTCTTTCGCCAATAGATTGTGCCACCACACTTTGGCATTTTATAACATAAACTTTCATTTGTTTTCTTTCGTTTTTCTTGCTGTTATTATTTTTTTTATTTTTTTCGCCACATTTTTTGTTTTTTTTTCCAATGTTGTTGTTAGTGCTTGTAATGCGCTCATGTAGTTGTCCCTCTCTTCTTGTCTTTATATTCGGTTTGGGTCGCATATGTTAAGCCCCGAATACATAGAAACGAGTCTGATGTCTTGACATCTGTCTACCGAGGGCCCCCCAGCAGCCAACCACCCAGTTTTTCGGCTTCGAAAATCGTCCAAAAATGTAGATTTGCATGCACATCAGCATTGGGCATTCATTTATCTCGCCGACGATGGCCCCTTAATGCGATGGCGCGCTAAAAGAGGACAGGAGGGGGATAAAAATGTAGGACTTTAAGGAAAAATTGTATCATATATTACAAATATATTTTAACTATTCCATTAAAATATAAAAATGTATACCTAAGTAAATTCAATGCAACTCTAAACTCCATTAATCTCTTGGCTTTTAATTCGATAGGGTAAAATGAATATCCTAACCGACCTGAACTCACACTGATTGGGGTGGATGTGCTCAGTTCCGTGATTGATTGATTCGAGTAAGTGCAACAGTTTATTTGCATATTTTGCAGAATTTTATTGCACAACGGTAAACAGAACTGAATTACTGCAAAAATATGTAAAATATTTAAATTGCCAAAATATCCCTTAGCCGAGCATATAAATAAGAGTTTGCAGATGTCAAGGGAGGCCAAAGGGATGGCCAGTTGCAGAGGCCAAACAAATGTAAACTCGCTTTGTAGTTTATTGAAAATTTAATAAAGTGCTGCCCACAAACGAACGGACAAGCACAGGGAATGGGAAATAAAATAGGGAAATGCCGAAATGCCAATGAATGCGGAGACTGCATGAAATAAGAAATACCCAAATAAATATGCTATTTGCCTTTATTGCAATTCAATTTACTATCAAAGCATCAGCCCTGGAATCAGCATCAGCAGCCAATGGACATATTCGGGGCTAAATTTATTCCATAAAGGATTTGCAGCTCCCTCAGCTGCTCGGTATTTTTGGAATTTAAATGGAATTTAAAAAGCATTTCTATTCGGAATGCTTGTCAAGAACTCCGCACAGGTATGATGACACAAATCCGCCCGCAGGTGAGGCAAAAGCCAAGACTGGGACAGCCTTTCGACCTGCTGTCATCCGATTTCTTTGCATTTTTGCGATCAATAAGTGCGGCTGCATCAAAAAAATGCTTTTGAAACGAATGAGTGATTGTTTTCTATGCGTTATCCGTTTTTAATTTAATACCCTAGAAATTTTGTTAAACTACGAATAGCGCACGAAATCCAGGAATTAACTGACTACAAAATATTTTTAATTATCATTTCTTGAGGTTTGCATATATTTTTTAAAAATACATTTATTTCCCCTTATTTTTCAACTCAGAACTAAATTTTATTTAGTTAACAAAACATAATTGTTTTTTGTTTAAATAATTTTTAGATAAAATACAAAAGAAGAAATATCACAACAAAATAAAAACTTTTTTTTACAAAATATAATTATTTTTTAAATTAATTTGCAGTGGAAAAACAAAAATGATAAAATGGGGACTTTACGAACCTTATACTATTCTCAACGCGATGCAATGCTCTAGATAATTGCCATCAAACATAAAGCAAAGAACCAACAAAAAGGATCAAAATTTGTGAAAAGGACGAATATCAGCTTGGTTTTAGACCAGTATTGTTTTCATTGTTGTTTCGAAGACAAAATCAAAATCCAACAATATGGCAATAAACGAATTTCGGTTATAACAATGCAGTTGACCTCCACTGGGTTGTTTCCCCAAAAAAAAACCACCCTTCCACACAAACTGCGTTCAACCGCATGCAATTTTGTTAGCATGCACATGTATCCATGGTCCGGCTATGGGGACAATGGTCGTAGCTGGCGAAAAAGGGTTCAAATTGGGGGAGGGAACCTCCTAATGGGGGACAGAGGGCGATCCAAAAATGTCCCTAGGTGTTGGCCACATGGGAGCCGAGTGAACGCATCTATTTGTATTTTGTTACAGGACATGCTCTCAGTGGGCATATCCTTTACTAGGATGTGTCATAGGGACATCAGACAGAGACTTTATTGAAAATGTTCAATGGCAAAAATTCATAACTGCAACGGAGTACACATAAAAAAATATAAAGCTAAATGCCTTTATTTTTCAATAAATCAAAATTTATTATTAAATTGTTATAATGTCATAACAAAAGATCCAATAAATATAAATCAACATTTAAAAACAAAAAAGGAAAAATAATTTTAAAATTTTAAAATAAATGGAGATAAATTACCCATCATTTTTGATGAAAAGTTTAAGTAAATATTTTTTTTGATTTACCAATCATACTTCGCAAACACTTTTTCGAGCAGCGCACTGCATTTAGGTTTTCATTTTGAAATCAAAAATGGAGAGTCCTGTCCCCCGGGCAGGACATTTGACTTCGTCCGCTTTTATGGCAAAGAGAATTATTGAGTTTTTGCGAAACGTTGAGTAATACGATTGCGGTGCTAATTTAGCTGCAATCTGCAGTGCTTCAGTTTTAGTCTCTTTTTTGTCTCTCATATCCGGCACTTTGTTAGTGACGTTGGCAAATCATTGAAACGCTTCGATTGCCGCCAGGGAATCTTATCAATGGCCGGCCAAGTGGCCGTTGGCTCTGCGGAAAGAGGCTCTGCAAAGTCAGTCAGTGTCAACATGTCGTCGTGGGTTGTATCCACCACCGAGCTGTACGATTGCGGTGCCAATGGGCCAACATCATCCTCAGCCACATCCTCGCAACACACCCGACTGATCCTGCTGGTCTGGCATAACCTGGCCGAGAAATGCCAGAAATTTGGTAGTTTCCTAAGACGCGAGACGAATAAGCCGCTACCCAAAGAACTGAGACGATCGTTACGTCTTAACAAATCGGCCCGCCGGAAAGGCTATCGGAGTTGCGAGAGCGAGGCAGATAAACGGTAGGCATTATAAACTTATGTATTATATTCGAATGGGCTAGATAAGCCCATTGTTATTGTTTACCCCAAGGTTCGTCTATGTACTGCTAGAGTGAACCTCTTTAAGGTAATGCATATATTTTCTAACTTTGAGTGGTTAACGTAGAAGTTACTATCGATTAAGAAAGAAAATAAGTTTTCAACATATTCGACTTTTTATTATGCATTTTAAAATGGAACCATTTGAGTTATTGCTTTTCATTCGATCTGGTTTATAAACAATCAAATATTTTCTTAGAAACACCTTCTTGAAAAGTGTATGAAGCAGTGCTGCCATCACTCAGCTTGAAAAACAGGACAGATAAGCCACAAAAAACAGGGAAAAAAAGGACAACAAATTTAAGAAAAGGACAAAAAAAAGGACAAAAGTAAATGTGCCTACATTTTTCTGTTTTTACCAATGGGTTATATATTTACTTAATATAAATGGATTTTAAATAAAATTTAATTATGTAATGATCTACTGCGCCCGACTCACAACCTTCTTTGTTTGATCATTTTACCATGGTAAATTTTTGTGCGTATACGTAATAATCTAAAATTATTATAATAATTAATGCATTTCAAGTAACTATATTCGTAATACAAAAAAATTAAATATCTGCGTCAAACCCGAAAAAGAGTCGTTCAAATCTAAATTTTTTTTCTGACAAAAAAGCAGAGAAGAAATTTTAAGAAATTTTAAAAGTGCTTTCCTCTTTTTTTTTGCTACAGAAAAAATCGTACTATAAAGAAAATCCATCGACTGCTTTACGTCTCTTTGATAATTTGTAAAAAGAATTATTTTTTAAGTGTCGAACTGTAAGAATGATGGTTAAAAAGGCATTTTAGCAAATAAAAACAGGTTTATACACTTTCGACTAGCAAAAATAACACTCAAAACCTTTTTTTTTGAAAAAAGGATAGATTTCCGGATAGGGGATGTTTGAAATTTTTTCCGGATAAAGCCGTTAAAAAAAGGACAGATCTGTCCGGAAAGAGGACAAAATGGCAGCACTGGTATGAAGTGTAATATTTATATTTGTAATCCTATCTAAATGCAATTAATTAAAAACTTTCCATTTTCCAGGCTGATGAAAGAGCGTTTAAACGAGCCCGTCAACATATCCATACGCATGGGACCAGCCTACGACTATAGACCGTCGAACATGTAATGGATCTGGAAAAGGATAATAGGATATCGCAATTCGAATTGTTAGCTCTGCTACTTACTTAGCCTAAGATGTAATGTTATTGTTACTAACTGACTGTTGTAAACTGTTATTAAAAGTTTAATTTTTACATATTTTTACATACATGTCGTAAGTTTTGGAAAACAGCTGATGAAATCCGAGAGCTTTGCGCAGCAATCAAAGCTCTACATTTCTCTTAGACCCACTTGTAAACTTGATTCGATGAACTCTCTTCGGCTCTTAAGAACGCCCACACAAAAGTTTATTGCCCCGCTCACAACAAGTGGACGTGACTTGGGGTATAAAGGGGTATATTCGCTTTTTTAACAGGAATTAAAATTTATAAAGGCTATTATCAATTTTGTGTTTGTGCTGGGTTGGTATAATTAGATAAAATTAAAGGAAATATTTTATAATTTACGGATAACAAAAAAAAACTCTAATTTAGGTGCACTATAATTCCCAAGCTATTTTTCTGCCCATTTTTTTTTAGAAATTTTGAAGATATGCATATCCCCATGGGGGACAGTATCCAGTTAGTCGGTGAGGCCTAGTGTATAACTCGAATCTCGGATGGCTTTTCCTTTCTGCCGCTTTGCACTAATGCGCGCCGTCTGGTACTCTCACTCTCCGCGGAGCACTTTCTCTTAATTTCCCAACTGGTCTCTTCTCATACGTCACAGAAAGCGTTATCTCCCAAGTTTTTTTGTGCGGTGCCCGCTTAGTGTGAAAAACGTGTTCGACGCGGAAATGACATTGATAGTGAAATTTTAACCAAATTTAAAGAGATCGTGTTTTGTTTTTAACGTTTTTTTCGGCCAGCAAACAAACCAGTTTCAGAAAGTCCCAGAATTTGATTTGATGAAAAGTGACCTTTGATTGAAGCCACATAACAATAGTTTTCACCATTAGCATAAACAAAGAGTTCAGTGCAAAATGAACTTGATTTCCACAATTGTTTATTTACTAGTGGCATTCTACAAATTCGTCAAGAAGTTCCTGTAAGTGGCCCAAATTATCTAATATTTACAAGCTTTGTGTGTGTTTTTTTGGGTGTGCCGGGCCTTGTCCTTTTTTCGCCCTTTTTTCCCTCCCTTAAAACAACAATAATTCTTGGAGCTTATTGATAAAACAACAAACAAAACATTTCGTCGTTTTCTGCTGCTTTTCATAAATTAAGTTTTCTTTGTGAAGCTTTTCCGTCTCGGTCTTTGTTTGCTGTTTTTCTTTAAGTTTTTTTCCTTGGTTTTTGTTTATGTGGTTTGTTTTTGGACCTGCAGTTTATTACACAAAAATACAAATTTGCTCCAATCTGCTGACTTGTGCGAGCGAGAAAGAGAGCGAGATAGAGTCCCAACCGCTCTTTGTGTGCTCTTCCCGCACTCTCCCTGTCCCGCTCTCGCACCTCCCCACCCCAGTAGCGCCACGTTTTTGTTTGGGTTTGAGGTCGCTAGGAAATTGGATGTGGTTTTGTTCCATGCGGAGATTGTAATTTACCCAAGTGCCTGTATGTTTGGGTGTGTTCATCGGGCGGGGGTTACAGCAGAAATGGGTTTTTAATTACTATAACTGTCCTTTTGTGGGCCCGTTTTCTGCGAGCTCTTCAATTCTGAGGGCGTTGTACACATAATTTACAACAAGCACATAAGATCTGTTCTGATTAAAGTGAATATCTGTTGTTGGAGGAACCCGTAATTTCATCACAATTGACCGGAATTCCCGGGCTCAAAAACATTCCACTTGTTGAGGGTAATCATGAGTGACAGAAAGTAATTTGGTGAAAGCAAGTTATACGTCCTTTTTAATTGCAATGAAGAAATGTGGGCGCTATTAGTAATAACAACGTTTGAAGGTTCTAAAAAATTAGGGTATCAAATTTGTTAGGAATGAAATCGCACACACAAATTAATCGATCATATTAAGCATTAAAAAGCATTCAGGTGATTTGACCCACCAATCTTTCCAGTAAAGATAAATTATACCTATCTATCCCTTATTCATATCTTATCTCCTTATCCCATTGTTAAAATAATTACCGATTCTTATGATCTCTTATCGTAATTTAAAAGTTCATGATCTTGACTTTATTATTCTTACCTAACCTACCACAAAGTTCATTAAAATCCTAAGCCTTCGCCGGAAACCCGTCTCAACCGGAATGAATCAGTTTATAGACCTTATGTTCACATATTTGCTGTTGTGCATGTAATCCGAATAAAGCCTTTGTACGGATTAATATACAGACGAAAAAATTGGGTATATTCATGAATGGATTAACTGTAAACAGTAAACTATTTAAAATGGTTTTAGATCTCTGTGCATCAGACCTTTCCAGAATGTTTGTATGAGATCTAGAAGCCAAATGAGCTCGGTTAAATGACTTATTTTAATGATATTTTATTGGTCAAATGAAAAATTCGACTGGACTTTTAATCATTAAATTTGTTTGCCTGTACTGTTTAAAGCTGGGTGATAATGGCAAATATATGTAGATTATAAAAAACGGTCCAAATTCCAAAAAAATAAAAGTAATATGCACTCGTAAATAAGTGAGTATGTACATTATACAAACGGCACGCGTTACTCAATTCCGTTGCCCAACTGATAAGGCGCGAAAGTAAGTTTGGCAGACGTGAATAAATGACACCAAGAACTGTATTATATAGACGATAAACTAAAGAGCGAACTTTATACCGAAGCACTTAAACAAGGCCGCTGTTGGTCCACTCGAAAGCCTTATCTTATCTGGGTGGCTAGACCACTGGCAGCGAGTAATAGAAATACTAAATGCCGGGCTATATTATAGAAATAAATAGTTGTACTCCCCTACCTAATCGGCAGTCACCACTGACCTTGACAGGCCAACTGGGAGCGGGATTTGCGAGAACTACGCAAATCCAACCGCCTAAAACTAATTGAAACCAATTAGATCCAGGCTACGTCACTTTTTTGTTGCATTCCCCGTTCTTATCAATAAGTAGTAAATCAAATCCCGTTTGAAAGTTTTATAACTGACCCGTGCGAAGGAATTATGCTGGGAGAAACGTTTTCAAGTGGCTAATGCCTGCGGTTTCTTCGCTCCCGATAAGATATACACACCAGACACAAGACCAGACACGATCCTCATGTCAATGGCATTGTTATCAGCGCGAATTTACAAATTGTTCACAATTGACCCACTCAGATCCAACAAAGTAAGTGAGTCATTTGATTGACGTCTTTGAGTCTTTGTTTGCCGGGGGAAAGTGATTGGGAATTGCCTTTTGAATGTACCAAAGATTATAAACTGACTAGATTGCCTTACTTACCTTTGAGCTCGAATGAAATCTTGGTCTAAAATACCTTAAAGGACCTATGAATAAGCTCAGCCGTAAAAGAAACTATAAAGTTTTAGGTCAAAAAGATATAAGGTAGATTTATTGATGTTTTATTATACCGTTACTCGAAGTTCGGATCTATATTTTTTTATTGGTATCAGAAATATTGAGAATGTAAACTAAATCCTTAATAAATCTTTCAGAAATACGGAAGTTCAGAATCATAACTTTGCCAAGGGTATGATCCTTTCAAAATAATTTATCAACATCTAATCACATACAAATATCACTCATACGCGGGGTATGCCCAAAAGAATCCAAATAAAGATCCCCTCTACAGTATTTACACTAGTGTTACAGACCCTGAGAGCGTGAGCCATTGAACTTATTACGATAATGAGGTAGAGAGTATGAATGTACGAGAAGACCCCTCTCTCGCCGGGCGATTGTGCAATGGTGATGGTTGCTCCGTCGACCAGGCCAGACAAACAGAGAGGGTCTCTTGGCATTATCCTTATCAGCCGATGGGCACTGAGAGCGTTGGTATAAATGTCGCAAAGCACGTACCATCGAGTTTAGTTCTTTGCAGCTCGCCGGAGCAATTGAACCGCTTGAAATTCGCGCTCTGTCAGTCCGCATTAGACGAATTCTCCGGATCGCGAAAAGCCTGTGCGGGCAGTTTGGATACTCTGTCTTCGCCATCTAACCATGTGTGGTAATGCTCAATAGTGCAGGCTGCAAAATGGTGAGTCTGAACCACTGAACCACTTGCAAAGTGCGCCACAAACCTTTCGGGAAAAGCGGTCGAAGTTTCATTTTGCGTCCAGATGGAATCAGCTTTTGCCGGAGTAGAACCAGTTTTTTCCAAGCCAAAGCCGATGCGATACTCTCCATATGTAGTACGCGTATGTGTCCCAATCTGTCGCTATGCTGTTGTATAACAAAAAATAATCGCAAGGCAGCCACAAAAAGCACAAGGCGTCCTCTATTTGTATATACCCTGTAAAAAGTCAGACAGAGAACAAAATAAAGTGCTGGTATTTCCTTAAAAATACATCTTTTTTAGAAGAAATAAAGATAGAAATCTTAACAAATGCTTCTATTTTATTTTTTAGTTTTTTAATAAATATATGTGTTAGTCAGGAAAATCGTTATTTACAATTTTAAATTTAAAATAATCTTAAAAATATTTACCTAAAAAAATTGTCTAATTGACAAAATACACACTCCCCATTACCTTTAACAAAAGTGTAGTAAGCAAGCCTTGATAATAAGAAATGAAAGATCGAAAAGCATACGTCCTTACAATCTCTATACAAATTTTAATATACTCTTTTTATATTACCATCTGGGGCAGATGCAGGTCATCTGATAGTCGAGCATCCCAGATGGTTTCGTGTGAAGTTCCCTGATAAGCTTATCAAATCGTTGGCGTTTTTGCCTTTTAATTCGTTTTTTGTTTGCTTCGGATTAATCCATATCAGATGAGTGATCGATGACCCGATCAGCCAGAGGTAGCAGGTGGTCAGCCACTAAGTAGTCAGCTGAATTAACAAAAAAATAGTTACATAGTGGCTCCCAACCAATTTCTATTATCTCACCCACGAGGCTCAGGCCTGTCATAAATTGAATTGAGCGAACCTGTTGCCAAGTTCATGTGGCATTCTCGCCATTTGGACGACTCCCCAAAGGCCCGTACACTCACGTACATATAGCCATATAAATAAAACTCAATGTCGGCCGCTGCTCTTGTTGATTCCGCTCGACTTTCCGCAGTGCATTGCCAAAAAGAATCAAGATCCGTAG